TACCAGCCAATCTCTTAAAACTAGCTCTCCATTTTACAATTTACGTTTGTAAAAGTTTTAACTGAATTTTCTTCTGAAACCATCGCTAGGAAATTCAAAATTGTATAGCGGCTCAACTGGAAAACCCTTTACAAGTAGTATTCTGTCTAATCTGAAATATGACTTGACCATGTACCAGGATCTGAAGTCAAAATTGCTGATGCAACTTTTTCTGTTATTTCTGTTGGTAAATTAGATTCTGAATTATGTTTTTCTGCTTGCAAACGAGGTGGGATATTAGATTCTGATGCATTAAGTTCCGTTTCATTGGACGGTACCGGAATTGACTCTTCTTGCTTTTTACTTGATCCAGGGAAGTCTCTCAAAAAACTTTCTAAAGCTCCAGTCTGCTTTTTTAATTCCATCCGCTTTTTAGTGCGTCTTTTATACTCCGAACCAGAAGGTTTCTTTTTTCCATTATTACATAAATTGAGCGGCAGCGCAATCCTGTCTATTCAAAAATGGCGTAGGATCTCGCGGTAAAGCATTCTCCCTGTAAGATAGAAAAGGCTAGCAAATCATGACGTGACATCGACACTAAATACAAGTTTTGAACTCAGGCTATTACGCGCTTTGAAGTTCAAGAAAAAGTCGTTCGCGCTCTATCGCAGGGTAGTACAAGGTAATTAGCTTATTCAAACTAAAAACAAAATATAAAGCTAAAAAGTTGTTTTAAGGTACATTAGGGGCAACTTAATAAAATGTTATAGCCTTGCAGCTTGTGCGTGATGGTGGACAGCTGCCATTGACCGCCATATTGGAAGTTATAAAAAAATTGTTCCATAAACATTTTTTATTTTAAAATTAAATTACAATGAAATGAATTATTAAAAATGTGGCAAAAATGCTAGGAAGGAACTATTTTCCAATTATTTCAAGCGCCACCATATGCTTTTGGTTTAAATCGAACCAAATTAACCCAAAACAAAAGAAAACTTCGTTGATCTGCTTGAAATCTGAACAGTTTAGTTGGATAATCTGGATGGCCCAGGTTCGTTTGGATCAGTAATATAATTCTCTTCTAAGGAGCATTCTTGTACCTCCGACTGTTCTTCCTCGTCAACTACCATGGAAGGTCTGTTGCTGCATGCTTCACCATTGCATTTTCCACACATTGGGGTACATGGCGACAGTCAAATCTTTGGGCACAGTCAGTTTTACAGTTACAAAAAACCAACTTCAATATAGTTTCGGGAGCCAGAGGTTCTACTGTAGGAACCGGCAACAGTTGTTCCTCTTTTTTCATCCATCCCCACTCAGTAGCAGGAAGTTGGACCCCACGCCAAGACTGGACTTGATGAAAAACTCTGTAGCTGTGTTGTTTTGCTGCTCTAGATGTTGGTGGTAGTACTGACAGATCAAACTTTCCATAAACTGGTTGTTTAGCTATAACCTTTTTATAACCGTTGTTTTGCTTAAGTCATCTAAAGATACGCGACCGTTATATAATAATTTTAAGAAATACTCTCCGGCGTGAGCAATATCTTCTTTAGTTGTATTTATATCATTGAATGCCGAAACCTTTTGCCTTAATGACTGGTTCGATTGCAAAAGTTTAAAAGCTTGTTTTTTGCCTTTCTTAAAAAGGGAAGAAGTTGTATCGCAACCTGTAACTGCATGGAGAAAAGCAAGGGCTTCTTGGAGTAGGTTGCTATTAAATACTTTTTGTAGCCTAAACTTTGTTGCTGGAATTAACATAAAACATTCGTTATTACTTCTTACTACAGTTATCATTATGACCAGGAGATCAGTGTCTTCGCCGACTATAACTCCTTTCTTATTTTCAGTACAAAATGTGACAGCTGTATTCACGATGTGGGTATCGGCATCTCCAGGAGAAATTTGAACTTTAAATTTAGCAGGTTTTACGGCCAAAAATGAAATAAAGTTAGTTTTGTTGGAGGTATTTTTCAGAAATTCTGACTGCGTACAAGAAGGAAAAATTGAATCACACAACAATATCCACGGATTTCTTAACTTTATTTGTTCTTCTAATATGTTCTGCATTCTTCGTACCGTACTCACTTTCATTGTAGCCATCAAAAACAATAGTACTTTCAGGGCCATAATGTCTTTTAATATAGTCGATATAACTGTCACATATTTGGGAAAATGAAGCAGGTTTTGGCCAAACTACTCTATGCAAAAGGTAACCACCGTCTATCACAAAACAAGGTTCTAAAGGTAATTCCACAGCTGTTGGACAACATTCCTCTATGATACCAATTAAAGATGACTTTTTTCCTTTTCTCAGTGAAATAGAATCAAACAGAGATGTTGGCCGTGGAGCTAATTCATACTTTAAACATGACTGCAGTTCTTCGTCAGACTTTACGGTACAAAGTATTCGATGGAAGAGTTGATTGGAATTAATATTAATTTCTTCATTGCCGACGTTTATTATTTTCATAACAGCTGCCATGTTTTTCACCTTATCTTTTCGCAAGAACGTTGCTTTATTAAAAATTTTTCCAACAAACTTGTTTTGATTTTCGTTAGATTCCTGCTCTTTCTCTTTTATACGCCGTATATACATATATCTACATTTCGTATGTACTTCCACAGAGTCTTTGTTTTCAAGCAATATATGCACATTATAATTTCAAAGAACACTCATCCTTTTAATATTTTCAATTCCTTTTTGCACTTTTACTATTTGTCCACCAATTAAAGTTTTCTCACACAAAACACAAACTTCAGAAGTTTCCATATTAGGAAATCAAAAACAGAAAGTTATTTCTTAAAAAAATTAAAAAAAAATCTGCGTTATTCGAAAACGCGACTAGACTGCACGTTCAGAAACTGACTGATAAGAAGCGCCGCGAGCCGTCTGCTGTCTCTTGTTGCCATCCCTCCCGTGTCCCCACCACACGGCACACTCTGCAACACCAGAAATTAGGAATTGCTATACTAAAATAAACTCTTATACAAATTTTTAGCTTTATATTATGTTTTAAGAAATCTTCACTAATAATTGGCTAATTACCCTGTACTAGGGGTGGCGTTGCAGGGCGCTGAGTTTATTACGCACAATCGCAGGGGCGGCGTCGGATAATAATAAAATATAAGTAAATAAAATTAAAATTATTTATTTAAAATGAAATCTATATTGCCACGGCTGCTCTTCTTAATGACTAGACAAATAAAAAACTAATATTTTATTTTAAATTAATAAGTGTAATTTTTTGGCGCCCTTAGAATTTGACGCCCTGTGCACAGGCATGGATTTACCACTAGGCCCACTAGGCCCGGGCCTAGGGGCGCACGACTCCAAGGGGCACACTGTCATAAAAAAAAAATCGAAATCAAATGTTTTTAGTTTACAGTTACTTAGTCACTTGTCGTTGTCGTGGGTCGTTGTCACTAGTCAAGTCAACCCAGTGCTTTGTTTTAAATCTGTGCTTTGTTCGCGTGTTTTCTAATGCTGATTTGCGTTATCTTAAAATTCAACTTTTACAATGTGGTCCATACGGCATTACTTTGTTGTTGAAAATAAGTATTTATTATTGTTAAAGTAATCATGAGTGTTTAATAATGAGCTTTAAATCAAAACCTAGTGATGCAGAGTTTAGAAAAATGCGAGAAGAAAAAGATGAGAAAAAAAAAGTTATTAAAAAAGTTCCTAAAATAACAACTTTTTTTTTCACGAAATGTTCAAAGTCAAGTTAGTAATGATGGTTACCGTGAAAATGTACAGGCTGTTTCTCATGACGCTTCTAACAGTTTCAACGCCGAAGAAGTTGCATTTGAACCCGATCTTGTACCAGAACTTCAAAATAAATCTGCTGATGCTGAAGACGGAGTTCATGTAAAACGTGGTAGAGGTAGTGCAGACATTTTCAGCTCCGATCCGTGTTTATGGGATGTAAGTGATGAACTAAGAGATCATATTTGTACCCAAAGTAGTGTAAAGCAAAATAGTGACTCCGATTTTAATGAATCCAAAAGACCGTATCCAGATAAAATTCGCTTCCTGTATAAGTGTTTGTTTACGAAAAAACTTCAAAATGGAGAAAAAAAACAAAGCGTGGATGATTTATTCACCATCAAAAGGTTCCGTTTTCTGCGTTCCGTGTATGATATTTGACGAGTCGGATAACAAGGGCGCATTTCCAAACGGTTTCAATGACTGGAAAATGCTAATCAATGTGTAAAAGACCATGAAAACAGTTTTAACCATTTTAGAAAAACTAAAAATAGAACTTGAAGTCCACTATTGTAGGAGGTACTTAAGAGAGTGGTGGCAACTGTTAAATATTTAACTGTGCAAGGGTTAGATAAACTTAACTGTAGAAACTTCATTGAACTTTTGAAATTTCTAGCCCAATTCGACCCTTTTATGGCCAAACATTTACGTCAATACGGCGACCAAGGTTCGGGTAGTACGTCGTTCATTTCGAAAACTACTTATAAAGAACTTATCGCCCTTATGGCAGAAGAAGTTAGGGACACAATTTTGAAAGAAGTTCAAGAAGCAAAATACTTTGGGATTGTATTTTGGCATTATATTAGACCCCACGCCGGACATTTCACATGTGGACCAACTTACCTTCGTAATTAGATATGTTGCTATTGATAACATGCCGATAGAGATATTTATTTCTTTTGTGCCAAATGTTGGTCACAAAACAGAAGAGAAAGTAAACACAGTATTGGGCCTTTTTGAAAAATGTAATTTGGACATTTCTAATTGTAGAGGCCAATCATATGATAACGCCTCGAATATGTCAGGCATTTACTCTGGAGTTCAAGCTCGTATCAAACAGCTCAGTCCTCTGGCGGAGTATGTACCTTGTTCTACGCATTCCTAAAACCTAGTAGGCTCGTGTGCAGCTGAGTCATGCAAGGAGACCATTTTCTTTTTTGGATTACTCCAGGAGCTGTATAACTTTTTTAGCGCTTCACCACATAGATGGACTATTTTGACAAGAAACTGAGCATTAAAGTTGCAAAACCTGTCAATGACTCGGTGGTCTGCTCGTCACGACGCCTGCCGAGCTGTTAATGAAAGCAAAGAGGTAATTTTTAAAAGTTTAGATAAAATTGCTAGTGACTGTGACGAGAGGCATTCCACAAGAAATGAAGCCAGAACTATAAGTGAAAAGCTAAGTTCCCTAGAGACAACCATTATGGCAGCACTATGGGGCTCAATTCTGGAAAGGTTTAATAAAGTAAATGTAAAGCTGCAGTACGAAATCACAGAGCTAGGAAAAATAGTTGCCTATTACGACTCTTTGTGTGGTTTTCTTCAAAAAGTAAGAAACAACTTTGATGACCTGGAACGATCAGCGAATGAGAAGTGTAGGAAAGAATATATGGCTAATATTCGGCGCAAAAGAAAGGTACCTACTAAGTTTGGTGAATATGGTGGTCCTAGCAGTGATGATCAATTTACAGGGTCGGAAAACTTCCGTGTTAATACTTTTAATGCATATTGGACTCCCTATACTCTGAAAATAAGAAACGCGAGTGTAAATATTCTGATCTTCACAATAGGTTTGATTCTCTTGAAACTATCAAAAGTCTTGAGACATCTGATATCACCAAATGTGCAAGAAAACTATCGAGTGCATATCATGAAGATCTTGAGCCTGTTGTTGTGGACTAGTGTTTACATGTAAAAGCATTTTTGTTGAAAAACTGAAAACGAAAATACCAGAACGAGTATGACTGAAATTAGCAAGGTTTTGTATAATTTTGACATGGTTGATGTCTACCCTAACATTGCTATTGCGTTAAGAATGGTTCTTAGTGCTCCAGCCACTAACTGTTCAGCAGAAAGATCCTTTTTCACCCTTCGTCGTGTGAAGAACTACCTGAGATTCACAACTAGCCACGACAGTTTGACATCGCTAGCCCTGCTCGCCATCGAGGGGATACTAACTGCTTCCTACGGTAGAAAAATTTGCGCAAAAGAAAGCAAGAAGGTTTTATATATCTGTATTGTTCACATTTTATGTATTATATAGTTGTAGTTTTTATTTCTACATAAAACTGATTGTTCACTTGGCCCAAAGAATTATTATTTTCATTTGATTGGCCCTGAATTCGATTGAGTTTACTTGTACTATTAAATATTATTTACCTTTTCCAATTCTGTTTTGTGTTAACACTAAGGGGCGAAACTTGTAGTGCTAACACAAAAACAAAATTGGAAAAGGTTATTAATATTTAATATTAAAAATAATCAAAGAATTATCTTTAAATAAATGATTAGTTCACTGTTAACAAGTAATCATTTGAATAAATTTTATTTCAGACAACAAAATCATCAGTGTACGATGGGGGGAGGGGGGGGGGGGCGCCAAATTTATTCGAGTCTAGGGGTGCTGTAATGGTAAATCCGGCCCTGCCTGTGCAACTGCACACTTTGCTCATGCCTAGAGCCGGCCCTGGAACTAGCTTAAAGAGGACCGGCAGAGTATAGTCAAAAACATTAATCCAACTTTAAATATCGGTTGGAAGCAATTCATTCCCCACAACTTGAATTTAGCTTAAAAAGAGATGGTGCGGATCTACACTATATCGCTTTTACCTTGGATCGCCTAATTTGGTGTAAAACATCATCACAGGTGACTTACCATGGGTTTTCTGCTACGATCCTGAAAAACGTAAAAATCGTTAGTTTGATTTTTTGAAAATAAGTCGACTCCAACAAAAGTTGTTCGTAAAAAAAGCCAAAACAAAAAGATAGTCGCCATTTTTTTTAATTACTGGACATGTTTCCACTGCAGCACTGGATGATAGACTTACTGTTAATTCAAAATAGCACGCTACAGTTTCTTTTCCTGAGTTTTTCCGAAAGGTTCGCGAAAAACGTCCAAGAGGAAGGATCATCTTGTATCAAGATAACGCTCGGGCTCACACTGCTAATTGAAAAAATGAGTATTTGAATGCCCAGCACCATAGTTTAAAGAATATTATATTTTTTAAACTGAGCCAAAACATAAAAATATTGCCATTTGCCGTATTGTAGAGACCCAACACCTAATGACTTTTTATTTCCGCGGCTAAAGGATAAATTATGGAGTTTACGTTTTACATAGACCGAAGAAGCGGTCGATGCCTTTAAAAATAAACAAACTTCTGCTAAAAGATTGAAGGAATTGTTATTTAAAATTTATTTTCGCGGATTCAAAAATGCATTGACTGTGGATGAGATAATTTTGAAAAATTATTAATAAATGTTTTTTGTAAAAAAATAAACTTTACAATAGGTTCAATGAAACGAAAACAACCCTTTTTTATATTTAAAGGCAACCATTTTTTATTGTTACTAGTACATATGTGAAATAAGAAATTAGTTGCATAACCTCTTTCCACTTTTGAACATTTGGTATATTATTTAAAATTTTATATATTTATTAAAAACCACTATTATTTCCTAAATAAACAAATTTATTAAAGTGTATAATATACTGAAAATTTTAGTGAAAATTATCCATCCTACAAGTGAGGATATTATGAAAAATACAAAAATGAATCAAAAAGCATATAATTACCGGAATTTTTTTTGCTCACGCACCTATACTTTTTGTTACTTTTACCCTTTCCTCATCCATGTGTTTTTCAATGAAAAACTCTGTATATTATTGCATTTTTCCACTCTATAATATTTGAATCCAAAAATGTATACCTAAGGGGTAAAGGGAATCGTTTGGAACTTGCGTTTTTGTTACGCTCCTTCTCTTAACTTTGTTCTATTTTCTCTTTCTCTTCTATTTTTTCCCAGGACGTTTCCCTCTATATGAGTTTTGACCTATTTTTGTATTTTTTTGTAACAGCCTCACCTTTAAAATTATTAAGGGTAAATAGTTTTTATTGAAATTCCCTGTATATAATATAACTATTAAATTTATAAATATTAATTTAAAATTACATAGATATAGACAATTGGTGTGATAAAGTTAAAAATATATGCCATTATACAGTGCACGCAGCAACGTTGATATTATTCGTTTCCTGTTCGCCCTAATGCTAACTCTCTGTAGTTTTCAGTCCGACATTAGTTTATTCGTTTTAGAAATAATCAACTTTTAAAATAAAATACCTCTTTATTTAACTAAAATATAAAATAATTTATTTTGGATTAGGCAATACGAGTACAACTACACTGAATACTTTAATCTTACAAATGTTCAAATTGAGTTCCTCCAACTTCCATACAATGGTACAAATTCCGTTCGAATATTTACCTCACATTCTCGGGCAGTCATCAATGATAAATTCAATTAATTTATTGATGTTGATATTTGTAAGAACGAAAATTAGCAATCAGATTAAGATGCACGAGAATGGCTCTTAAGGTACTCCTGCCTTGATCTCTCTTAGAAATAGGCTTCTTTCGGTGTTATTCTGAAATATATTTCTGATGAATATGATTTTAATAGTTCTGAGTATTGACGTAGCAGGAATATTTGTAGTTCTTAAATCTGGCCGTTATGTCATACTTTGTCGAAAGCAGAGCCACATCCAAAAAGAGGGTGGGGCAAACATTTTTTTCTTCTTGTATTTTGCCAAGTATTTTTCAGTGATGCCAAAAAGATAGGATGGTACCTATTAGGTCATTTTCTGTTCTTGTAGGTTCCAATCTCATAAGAAGCAATTTTTTATAGAATACCGAGATAATAGGCAACAAAGATGTAACTTTATGGGGAAGTTTACCTGTCTTAGGTACTATTAAATTTTATGAATTAGAATATAAAACATAAAATAAGGTTTATGCTGGTGATGATTTTTAAAATAAGTATAATTTGAAACCATCTAGGTTAGGTTGATGTAAGGTATTAATTATATATAGAGCAAAAAGCAAACATTATCGAATGCTACAGGTTCTATTTGCGTTAATTTTATACATTATTAAATTTCACTAATTAGAACTAATTATGTGGGACATCCTGTATACATCTAACAAATTTTAAATTGTAGCCGTCTGTAACCTACGTATTCCTCCCAAACGAATTTTTTATATCTTTGGTCGTTTTCCCATAAAGCTCCGTCCCGTTGAGCGTGAGCCACCCTGTATATAAAATAATTTTATCTCCTTAATAGTAAATAGTAATAGTTGGATTTTTCCTCATAATTTAGGTAAATGTACTAAAGGTAGTCGAGGTTGTTTTGCTTTTTGTGCATCGTGTAGAACTTATTTTGTATGTGACTATGTCTATTGTAGAACTGAAATCGGAAAGCAGTGTGGTGTAAATAAAAATTAATTCATATTTATTCAGCCACCTACAACGGGATTATATTAAATAGCTTTATACGATATGTAGTGTACTATAACACAAGCGATTTCCAAGTTTTATATAAACAATGCCATAGTTATTGAAAATAAAGAATAAATGACTATTAAATATACATCACCGAATCATTTTTTTATTAATTGGAAAGGAAGCATTTTTTCATTTGATAATGATTAGAAAATATTTATTTTTATTAAACTTTTGATTTAAGAAAATATTTATTGGAATAATAGTTAAGAAAACGTTGTAACAGAAAAATGTACAGTAAATTTAAACCAGTTTCTGTGGTCGAAAATAAGTCGATTTACGCTGACTTGATTTTATAAAAAAATGCATAATAAAAAAATTACAGGGTGTTAAATTAGAAATCTTGTAAGTGATTTTATGTTCGTACTTTTAACGGCTTAACATATTTTTATAAAAATGTAAATGGAATGTAAGTAAACAGTGACCAATAAAATAAAATAAAATAAAATAGCGTTTAAAATTGTTTTAATTATATTGGTTTATGGAAGGGTCCCCCCGCACCCCCTTGATGATATATTTGTTTTTTTATTTTTTTTTGCTTCTTAGTAATTGTTTGTAAAAACCCTAATTACTGAGTTATAGGTCCCAGAAGGAAGGTCATATCGAATAATATATTAAAATTTTTCTATTTACTTTAACTTTAAACACTGAAAATTTGTTCACGTATTTTTTGTTATTATTTTACAACTACATTGTGATCAAAGAAATAACAAAATTATAAATGAAGTTGTAAAATAGCAAAAAAAAGTGAACAAATATTCAGTCAAATAAATTATGAAGGAAAAAGAGAAAATCTTAAGGACCGTGTCACACAAACTAGGCGACCATTTCCCTCTTAAAAACAACTACTCCCTTGGCTAATACCACAACAAGCATTGCATTATATCAAAATATTCAGTTATTGAAGTTAAGATCAAAAGAAAAATTTCATTTTACTGTTTACTATGACGTTCCTTCTAATGCCTATAAGTATTTAAGGCTTCTAGAAACAAATGGCGTCCTGCTTTTAAGTAAATTACATTGTCTTAAAAATTAGGAACCCCTATAAAATTAATATTATTAAAACAGTTTTAGACATCACTAAGTCCATTTTATTGGCCCCTGTTTAATAACATTGCATGTATATTTTTATAAAAAAAATGTTTAGCCATTATACTGGGTGTTCAAATTAAAGTGTTACAGTTAAATACCGGCTTTTATAAAAAAAAAAACGTTTCAGACAAAAGTTTTATATTTTTTTGGGGTAAACATTTTGGCTAAAATCTTTTTTTATAGCTAACAATAATATGGTCAACTTTTTTTTTGCGCAGCAAAATTTTCTGGTAGGTGTTACTCAATAAGTAAAAGTCCAATAAAAAAAATGTTCCTTTTAAAAGTTTATTATTTTTTTATGAATTTTAAGAATATGTAAATAAAAATGGGGTTCCAGTTTGAAATAAAAAAGGCTTCTTCGATTCGGCCATATTATGGTCAGCTATAAAAAAATGAGTTTCGCCAATATGTTTCCCCCAAAAAACTATAAAACTTTTGTCTAAAACATTTTTATAAAATGACTATTTTCGGCGGTATTTAACTATAACACCTTAATTTGA